CTGCATTGGTAATACTATTGTCTTTTGCAGCTGGACCTCGTCAATCGTACAGGAGTGGCTGCATGAAGGCTGCCACAGTGATTTTGTCAGCAGATTTTCTCCATTTTGGCGCTAGTGATTTTCCTTCTAAAAATCCTTTTAAAAAGTGCTTCAAAATCGTCTTTTTTTCGCTTTGGCGTCGAGATCCGGTTTTGGACCTGCAATTTCCGACCCAGTTGCGCGTAGTTCTATTGTGTTTTGCAACTCAGTCTCCGCAGATCGCATTGTAATAGCTGCGTCAAGGTTGCTTCATGCTGAGGCTGCATGCATAATACTATTGTCTTTTGCAGCTGGACTTCGTAAATCGTATTGGAGTGGCTGCATGAAGGCTGCGACAGTGATTTGTCAGCAGATTTCCTCCATTTTGGCGCTAGTAATTTTCCTTTTAAAAATCCTTTTAAAAAGTGCTTCAAAATCGTCTTTTTTTCGCTCTGGCGTCGAGATCCATCCGGTTTTGGAGCTACAATTTTCCGACGCCGTTGCACGTAGGTTTAGAGCAGTGAAGTGTGGGGCGTGAAGAGTGCAGTGTGAAGTGTGCAGTGTGAAGGAAGCAGTGGGAAGTGAGAAGTGTGGAGTGTGAAGTTTAAGTTTGGAGTGTGAAGGAAGCAGTGAGAAGTGACAAGTGTGAAGTGTGGAGTGTGAAGTAATTCCATCGTTCGTGCGGGTGTATGTTGATAACCTCCATAAAATGACCACCGTGACTTTGATTAGTGTGACCATACCTGATGTGACTGTGACTGTGACTATTCTGATCATGACTACTGTGACCATAGATACTATGACAAAGACTACTTTGACAATGACCGTTGTGGCTGTAACTGTAGTGACAATGAGTATTGTAACTGTTTGGACTGGCCCCTTTTTAGGTAATGACAGTGGGAAGTAGAAGTGACGGCATTAGTGTCCCAAGAATAAATGACTAGAAAGTGAAGTGTGGACTCTGAAGTGTGGAGTGTGAAGTTTGGAGTGCAAAGAGTGCAGTGTGAAGTGTGGAGTGTGGAGTGTGAAGTGTGAAGTTTGGAGTGTGAAGGAAGCAGTGAGCAGTAAGAAGTGTGAAGTGTGGACTGTGAAGTGTGAAGTGTGAAATGTGGAATGTGAAGTGCGAAGTGAGTGTGAAGTGTGAAGTTTGGAGTGTGAAGGAAGCAGTGAGCAGTGAGAAGTGTGAAGTGTGGACTGTGAAGTGTGAAGTGTGAAATGTGGAGTGTGAAGTGCGAAGTGAGAAGTGTGAAGTGTGAAGTGTGGAGTGTGAAGTGCAAAGTGAGAAGTGTGAAGTGTGAGGTTTGGAGTGTGAAGTGTGGAGTGTGAAGTGTGGAGTGTGAAGTGCGAAGTGAGAAGTGTGAAGTTTGGAGTGTGAAGGAAGCAGTGAGAAGTGAGAAGTGTGGACTGTGAAGTGCGAAGTGTGAAGTGTGGAGTGTGAAGTTTGGAGTGTGAAGTGCGAAGTGAGAAGTGTGAAGTGTGAAGTTTGGAGTGTGAAGGAAGCAGTGAGAAGTGAGAAGTGTGGACTGTGAAGTGCGAAGTGTGAAGTGTGGAGTGTGAAGTTTGGAGTGTGAAGGAAGCAGTGAGAAGTGAGAAGTGTGAAGTTTGGAGTGCGAAGAGTGAAGTGTGAAGTGTGGAGTGTGAAGACTTTGCTTCGTCTCTCGCTGAAAAAAAAAACCGCTTGTCGAGGGAAGGACACG